TATGTATTGCAAGATGATATTTTGTTCCAGTTATTAAAAGGAATTTCCTTCAAGTTATTGAAAGGAATTTGTCTAAAGAAATTAAAATGTCTTTGGTTTACATTGCCAGCTATGTTAATAGGGAAGATCCTCCAGTTGAAAATACATCATTTTGTTTTGAGCAGTTTGGAGATTATGTCAGAGAGAATAATCGTGGGGGCTTAAGATTGCCTGGAGATAGCATTTGCCATTAGATATTTTATGGGTAGGGCGTCATTCTTTCTTTTACCCTATCAGCTTGATTTCTGAAAATTCTCAATTGAAACAGAATGTGGAAGCATCTTTAAATTTGTTTTTTATTATGTTAAAAAAAGTTTAAAGTAATTTGTAAACAGAATAAGATAAGTAGCTCTAGATTTTTTAAGTTTTACATAGCTTTTTTGATGCATTGACATCTTTTTTATTATTTCATATTGTTTTTGATGCATTGACATCTTTTTTAGTATTATTTCTGAAATGTTAACAAAGCTCTCTCCATCTGGACAAGTTTTAAATTGAAGATTATACTCCATTTTACAAATATCAGGGTATTTTCCCGTAGGGTTTACAAATCCAGTATTAAATGATGTTGGTCCATTAATTCCTTTTATTAGGTGACACAAAAATAACTTGTTTAATCTATAAGTGTTACACATCATTTAGTAAGATTATATTTTTGCTAAGAAAAACAAACAACTTAAGGAAGCTTTGTAGCTGGTTTGTCCGAATGAATACGAGCATTCGGGGTAATATGACCAAGATACCAAACACAAAGTTCTATAGCCACAGTAATGTGATTCTCTTGACAATAATAGAATATAACTGTCCGTTCAAATTATTAGCATGTATTATCTGCATCTCAGACTTTCAACCTGTCTTATATCTTTGACTTTATATCATGAGCTCCGTAGTTAGAATTCGTTTAGTAAAAATACAGTTGCAATTTATGTGTGCTATAATCGTACTATTTTTGGGGGATACCCAAACAAATTATGCTCATAAAAATATTGTATGAGGACTTGTTATGAGGTCTATTAGTTTAAAACTCTGGTATTAGGTTTTTTAACTTAGCTTCAGTTCTTCTTCATGCGATGTTTTAAATTGTTTTTCCCAAAAAAATTTTATTCTATAAATTTCTATTCTAAAATTCTAAAAATTTCTATTCTAAAATTCTAAAAATTTCTCCCCAAAAATAACTGGTTGTTGAAACCTAACATTTTCATTTCTCCATTGAGCAAGAACAAATGAAATTAGATTGATTTTTGTTAGAACATTTATTTTGGTATAGACTGCATGTTATGCTTTTTTGCTCTTGTTGTGAAATTATATAATATTTACTCTGTAAGCAACTAATTAGGAATAAAATCCTTTCCAAGTCCACTAAATCTAGAAATTTCTAGTGAAGGATGAATATCAAGCTTTCAACAATAATGAATAATTCAATTAAATAACTAATTGTGAATATAATAATAGTATCTAAATCACATTTTTATACGGCAGAGAGCTAAGTCGAAGTCTCTTAAAATTAATTTGCCACTGCGCTTATAATGAGTCTAAACAAAAACGGATTAAATCTACTTTAATAGAAATTAATTTTATTTCATTTTAATAATGTCTAAATGTGAAAATTTGGGTATCAAGACATTTTCTAATCAAATAGTAGTCAATAGCAAACCTACCTTGAATATTTTGCTATATTTATTTATTGTTTTTTGTAGAATTCGCATATCGGCGAATATATGCGCATACCATTCAAATGGTATGCGCATAATGCGCATAATTATGCGCATAATACGCATTTAATTAATATGAAATTAATTATTGTTAAATGTTTTTTAAATCAAACGCAAGTGACTTTAAAAACATTTATTCTATATTTAACAATATTTTAAATTAAAAAACATTTTAAATTAAAATTAAATATTTCAAATTATTTTCATGATTACAAATTTCAAAAAAAATATTACAAAACTTGGCAATTTAATTTGTATTTTAATTTAAATATTTAATTTGTATTTTAATTTAATTTGTAATTTTGTATTACGTTTGCTCATTTATAATTTCTTCACACTCGAATTCGCCGAGAACTGCTCCTTCCTCAGATATGTAGTCATTTTTGTGGTTTGTATCCATCAAAACACTATTGGTATATATGAAAACTAATTTTTTTACGCGTTCGTTTGTCAAGCAATTTCTCAATAATGAATGAATAAATCGAAAAATTGACTAAGTTCTGTCTGCTGTTGCTGATGAACAAATCATTTCAACAATAGGTTTTGCAACTTCAAAGACTGGTGGATATTTCTGATAACCAACAATATTCTAATAACTCTTTGCGCTCATTTTGAAAATCGTCTTTTTTCTGTCAGTGTTGTCATTTCTCCAACAAACTTAATTATTCAACTGTCTCAACAACTGTTGAATTTGTTTTAGAGGCTAATTCTGAAATTGAACTGATTAAGTCAGTCCTATCCTTGCAAAAATAGAATCCTTCTGCAGCATAGTTTGGTGTTAGCATATAGGCGATTTCCATATTTGAGGTGATAAGGAATTTAAAGCGCTTCATAACCATTCCCTGAATATTTTTCTCATTTGTAAATTTCTTGTACATTTCACCAAAATAATAGTACACCAAATATAATGGAGCATCATCATTTTCAAGTCTTCCAATGATGTTGGAAAGATATTTGATATCTTTTACAAATTTTGCCAAACTGTCCCAGAAAGCATTTGATTTAATTAGCGTCAAAACAGCGGTCGAATTCGTTTTTGGAGCGATTTCTTTCAAAGATGCATTTTCCTTATTTGCAAGTTGAATCAAATTATACTTTGCCATACAAAGGTTGTTCATTGAATTAAAATGACTGAGCCATCGAGTCGAAACAGGCATTGTGAGTGAGCAATGAATATTAACTGCAATTCTCATTTCATCAAACTTTGCTTTAATAATGTGATGATTTTTCACAAACTTGATAACTTTTTCAGTTTCTTTGATGGTCTTTGAACTTTCAGCAGTACTCAAAATGTCCTTAATGAGAAGATTCATACCGTGCGCTGCACAGCCATATGTCGAGATGTGTGGAAATTTTTCTTCAATTAAATTCCAAGCAGCTTTCATTACTGGAGCGTTATCAGTGATAATGCTTCTGACCTTTTATGGACCGAGAGTTTTAATTACTTTGATAATAGCACCAGCAACAGCTGCAGCGTTTTGAATTCTGCCCGATGTGTTGATTGAAGTATAAAAAAACGGTTTTGTATTTGGTGCCTTGATACAAAAATTTACTATATGATCGCCACCAATATTTGTCCAACCATCACTGACAAGCGTTAAATTTTCAGATGTTTTGAGAATTTCTTCCAACTTAACGGAGCATTCTGCGTATTCGTTATCAAGAAGCAAACCTGACAGCGTTTTCGCGCACGGTATTGATGATGCATACAATGGATTAAGTGCTTTGATCAAATCCTTAAAAGCTTCAGATTTAACGAAACGAAGAGATATTCCAGTTCGGAAAAAGAAGTTTGCTAATTTTATGTCAATTTCTTTTTTTAATTCTTCAGGATTCATCACATTGTCAACTACTTCGTAAGTATCAGCTGAGATTATATTGTCGTTGTCGAAGTTGATTATGATTTGGCTTTTCGTTTTGCAAACAATCGTTTTTCATCTTCACTAGCGTTTGGACATGATGATCGTTTATGTGCTGCGACGCCATTTTTTGCCCATTGAAATGTCTTTTGGCAGGCAACGCGAGTTCCAGTTTTCTTTGTATTGAGATTTTGCAAAAATTTATTTATTTTAAAGTTTTCCATTGTCTTTCTGTTTGCTGAAAGTCTTAAGTAGACGTTTTTCAGTCAACAGAAAAAACTCAAAAGTTTATAGTTTTATAAAACTATAAACTTTTGAGTTTTTTATTGATTCATTTTTTGTTTTCAAAAGCACATTAATTTTAAACTTCATTAAAACTAGTATTAAATATCGTTTTTTAGTCTGTCTGTCAAGTCAAAACAATTTAACGGTTTTTAATGATTTGAAAGCGGAAAAAAGTTATGCGCACAATTTATCGGCGAATATCTGCGCATACAAATTTTTCCGAACCCTATTTTTTTGTTTTTCTTGGTGGTCTTTTCCTTCATACTTGCTTTTGCAGTTGTTCAAGAATAAAACAAAATCTGTCTCTTCTCTTCATTTCTAGCAATATCAATGTTGTCCTTTATGAGCTTAACAGTTTTTATTTTTAATTCACCTTTTTATTTTAGGTGCATACTCTAGGAAGTTCAAACGGTCTAATCACAGAGCACCACGGAAGAACATTTAACAGAAGTTCACTTCTCCTTCTTTACTGATGTCGTCAAACTTGCCTGAAGCTAGCTTTAAAACACGATCTCTTGCTTCTGACACAATCGTGCTACTACTGCGTTACAGCTGCAGTTCATTCAGAGGATTGATTAACAACAGCAAGATGAAAAACGGTATCCTGAAATTATAGGTAGAAATGCTTGCAATTGTAGTATTTGGAGATGGAGGAAAGGGGATTCACCCATTGACAGCCACTTTTACTTTAGACTGTGATAAGGAACAAGAACCACGAATTTTCTGTGACCAATTGAATTAAGCTTGGCGGCTTCGATCCATTGATATATAAAATAATGAGGACCTCTATGATTGCTCTCATTTAGGCTGATGGATATTCGCCCACAGTTTTTGAGCAATTTCACCTTTTTCTTTACATTTATTTATCAGCTAAGGCTAACACAGTCGTTTAATAGATATAAAGCCTGATTCTGTTCAAATCTGATTTTTTTTTCTTATTTGCTGAAAAGTTTTCATATCCTGGATAAAAGAAAAAATTGTTAAATTCTTTGTTTAGAAAAAATTACGCGTTATTAATTATCAAAATCATTTTTTTTATACTGGAACCCTTGTATATTACGCACTTCATATTTTTTAAATTGATACTTACCTGACATGGTGCAATAGCAGCTAGCTTTGAGAAACCAGTAGTTTAGAAGGCAACCACAAAAGTTGCCACTTTATTATTCTCATGTATTAATTGTTTTGTAAGATTGGCTATTTAACCCATCAAAAGCTGTAACTTTATGTAGTAGATGCTAAAAAGAAGTTTATTATATATATTTATTTATTAAAAAGCTAAGTATTTGTTAATGTGCAACAAAATCCTTTCTTTTGCGATAAAATTTAATTCCCTACCTTTTTCCATGAAGCGGATATGGTGGAATGCTAGGGAGTACAAAGCTTGAACTTGTCCTCAGAAAGCACATAATTATAAGCTTAACGTAGTACTTTCCAGTAATCCTGCCCAAAAATGAAAGTAAATCAGAAAATATATAGGTATAATTAACTATGCACAGGTATGTATATTTTTTGTGTAAAAAAGAGTAAGATATTACTTTTTGTTTCACAAAAAATGTAAAAATACCTATGTATTTTAATATGTGCTATGTAGCGATTACTATAGAATCAAGTAGTAAGCAAATTCTATAGAACTTGCTGATTGCTAGAAAACAAGAAAAATTTGTATCGAGAATAAATTCCTACAAATTAAATACATCATAAGTATTAACAACTTCAGATATCGAGTTATCGAGCTTTTTTAAAGAACCACTGCTGATAATATTTTGATAGTTTCTTCAGAAATCCTCAATCTTTTCAACACCATTTCACTCAAAATTTAAAAAAAAGTTGGGCACAAAAGTAAAAAATATATATGCTAGAGAAAATTAGTATTTTACAAGAATGGTAACCAAATTTATAAAAATCTACATGATTCTCTTTACCAAGATCATTCCATACTTATTTTACATCATGATCATTATTTGCTGTTCACAATTGGTTTTTGGACCCTTGCCCGATAGTCCACGCTGATGAAGAATGTGAAAAAAGAATATCCACCAACCCAAATGATAGCCAACATTAAGTACTAAGCTCTTTAGATTTCACAGAAAATTTGTGACTTTTTTTCTTGTGATAGATTGTGATAGATAGATCAGTAAAAGTGACTGTCAATGGATGACAGTTTTTCATCTTGCTGTTGTTAGTAACAACAACAACAACAACAAGCTGTTTATTTTTCGTAAATCATTTTTACAATAGTATTAACAAAAATAGAAATAATTTTATTTAAATTAATGATTGCTCTAAAAGAACTGTTAAGCTCCTAAGTAACAATGATGATTTTGTTAGAAATGTGAAGAGAAGACAGCTTTTGATTTTATTTTTAAACAACTACAAAAGCAAGTAGAGGTATGGAGGAAAAAACAAGACCACCAAGAAAAACAAAAAAACAATGAATAAATATAACAAAATATTTTTTTTAAATAATAATTCAATAATAAGTTTGTTGTATGAATTTGCTTGACATTTAATGCAACATATATGAGGCGCTTTTTTCAAAAAATTTAAACATTTCTACAAATTTACCGTAATGCTTAAAAATCGGAAAAAATCGGAAAAAATTTGCGATTTTGTAGACAGATTTATATGCAATATATTCCATAATAAAATTACCATGCACGTTTATTTGGTTTTTCAACCTAAGTAGAAACTCTTAAAATAAAATAAAAAATATATTTTTTTAAGTATTAGAACTTGCTCAAACGTGCCAAAAACAGGCTAAAAAAAGGGTTCAAAAGTCTAAAATATCACTATTGAGGCACTTAATCAACCCCTAAAAGTATTCCAAATTCAAAATAAAAAAAACTCTACTTATAAAATATGGGTCTGCGCAGCAGATAAGACTCCATGGTGCATATACATATATATATATATTCATATATATATATATATATATATATATATATATATATATATATATATATATATATATATATATATATATATATATATATATATATATATATATATATATATATATATATATATATATATATATATATATATATATATATATATATATATATATATAAATATATATATATATATATATATATATATATATATATATATATATATATATTATTATATATATATTATTATATATATATTATTATATATATATATATAATATGTGATTGGAGCTTGGGGACAAAAAAAACCCAATTTTCGGGCCCACCCAGCCCTTAACGTGAGAGCAACACGTTGATAAAATAATTTTTTTAGTATTTTTATCTAAGTTTATAATCATCAACAAATTTTAAATTTCATCCAATAATTTCTTATTTTTCGAAAATTATGACCATATAAAGTTTTAACCCCCTCAATTTGAGGGGGCTGTAAACTTTGTAGGGTCATAAAAACTAAAAACTAAGAGGTTAGTGCATGAAATTTGAAATTCGCTGATGAATATAAACTTGTTGCTCCAGTGTACACCACTGATAATATATATATATATATATATATATATATATATATATATATATATATATACACATATACAACCGCCTCCCCCTTTGGCTCTCCTCTCTTGTTCCTGCGCCATTGTATATATATATATATATATATATATATATATATATATATATATATATATATATATATATATATATATATATATATATATATATATATATCAACAACTTTATATTTTAATGGTTCTTGTTTCAATAATCTTTTTTAAAGATCTTTTTAATGAAAATTTTTATTAATATTTTTTTTGAAATTTTTGAATTTTCTTGTTTCTTTAGGTGGTTTTAAATTAACAGTAACATTTCTTTCTTTATCTGGGTTTTAAAAAAATATTTTAGCGTATAAAAGTATTCTTTGAATAAAAAATAACTAACAGTAACAAAAAAATAAAGAAAAATAAACCTTTAGTTAATTATGGCATTTAAAAAAAAAATTTAATTACAAAAAAGAAATTAAATAAATACCTGTGTTCTCTGGTTCAAATCAAGGCCTTTCCTATCAACTATAATAAAAGTTAAAAGGCTTTCAAGAGCTTTTGCAACAAGAGTATTAAATGCAAAAATCAGTCCATATCCACTTGTTTCCACATTGACAGCCACTCGAAAGCTTTATAAAATTTTAAAATCTTATTCAACATTACTAAAGTAATCTTAAGTAAAGTACATTACGAAAGTATAAAGTGAATAAATGCAAGTACCTGGAAATAGTTAAAATAAGCACATGTAATGTCCGAAAAAAAATATGGCAAATATAAGCCACCCAAATAACAGTTGTGTTGGCCATCACAAACAAAAATGCAGCCATTATTATAGACACTACACTTATTAATACTTCACCTAAATATTTAAGTTGAGCATTCTTTAAAAACTGAAATAAAATTATAACAAGACCGCCTAGTATCGTTCCAGTTGCAAGTACTGCACCGTTGTAAATTTCTTTATCTGAAGAAATCACAGCCCACAAATTCATGACATAGTTTTCTACGTGAGAGCTTCCACACTCTGAAAGCGCCCACCATATCGACCATATGCATAGTTCTTTGTTTTGAAAAGATTTTATAAACTCTTGAAACATTGTTGACATTTTTAGCCTACAAACATCGTAAACGAAAAAGCAATTAGATAGCTGACCACTCTCTTTTTTGTTGTCAACAACTTTTTGTTGATTTGGTTCAATATTCGAAACTTCATTTAATTTTTCAGTTTCTTGACAGCTGACAAACGACTCACTGTGATTGGGTAACTTCTTTACAAAAATATTCTTTAAAGGATTCGGAAGAGTTAAAGAAATTATTACTGCTAACGAAACACTACTTATGGATATGTAGCCTAAAACCAATAAGTTTGTGGCTTTTGTTGAAAGCAGCGTTTGTCCTAGAATACAAGCAGCGCCCCTACCAAACAAAACTGCTGCTCTGGTATACGAAGTGACTTTCTGAAAATATATTTCATCTACTACAGTGTAAATGTACGAGTAGTAAACTATTTCATTTGCGTCACCAATACCATCAGCAGCTTGCATAATTTGCATCATAAAAACTCCATTCTCAAAACAAAGTAGTGCTACAGCTGTAAGTCGAGCCAACGATTCTAGAACTATGAAAAACTTGTATCTTAGCAAATCGGCTGATAAAAATACTACAACTAAGAAAGTAAGATCTGAATATGTTCTCATTGGATATATACGATCATTGATATCTTTGATGTCAATATGCTTGTAAGTACTGTTTAAAAATGGAGTCAAAAATGGGGCTGATGGTTTTAACTCTTTAAAAAACCCATATAGACAAGTCAAAATAGCTGCTTTAACCCATAAAGGTAACATTCTTAGATATTATTGACTATGAAAAAAATATTTTTAAGTAATAAATATGAGTACTTTTGGAATTAACCATTAATGACATAAACTTTTTTAGTAACCTATTAAAAATAGAAGATAAATAATTAAGTCATTAATGCAACAAACCTAATCAATAAAAATTAGACAAAATAATCATTTAGAAATTAAGATGTAGCCTTTTTAAATAAAAAATAACTCGAAATATATTAGAACAACAATAACATAGAAAAAACTTTCAAAAAAGATTTTGATCCATTTAACATATCTTGTATATTTTAATAAATTCTTAACTTTTAGACTTTTTTTGAAATCAATAAACTATTTATGTAATAAAGCAACAGTATAATAAAATTATAATAATTAATGTTACGACAGGACAACATAAACATAAGCTTATAAAACAACATAAAAACACTTTTTTTTTTTTTCTTTTTTTTTTTTAAATGTTGAAAAAATGAAAACCAAATTGCAACTATTTTAGTAAAAAAAAAAATAATTAATTTTTGTCATTGATAAGTTTCAAATATTAATTACAAGTTACTTAATAGGCACTGCAAAAACTTGTGGTCCGTAGAGGATTCTCCATACAAATTCCCAAATAATCATTGGATTCAATAAGTAACGCACCCAGTCATTTATCCAGTCCAAGTCATCAATACCCCATTAAAGATAACATCCATAATAAACATTAAATTAAATAAACCAAATTTGTTAAAAATCCTGATTACTGCTTTTTTAAAACAAGGTCCAAGCACCTGAAAGATTTAAGCACAATCAAAGCACCTAAAAGACACAAAACCAATCAAAGCACTTAAAAGATACAAACCCAATCAAAGCACCTAAAAGACTCAAACACAATTTAAGCATTCTAAGAGTATTTTAAATTAAAAAAAAAAATTAAGCAGAACTTTTAAAAAAATGTAAAAATCAAAAATGTTTATGAATAATTTTTTTAAATGAACTAGTTTACTTTTATATTATTTTACTTTTATATTATTTTCCTATATTATTTATACAATACTAAAATTTATTTTTATTTGCTACACTTCAAGACTAATGGAGAGTCTATCAGACTTATGGAGAGTTTATCAGACAATAAAGACAATAATGTGAAAGAATTAAAAAAATCGTTTATATAAAAAAAAAAAAAAACACAGCGTTAGCTTCATTTTTTAGTTTGCTAAAAACAAACAATGACTTTCAAAATTTCCTAACTACATATTGATTTACTATTTATTTCGCAAGAGCTTTTCAACAATTATATATAATAGAGCTTTTTAACAAATATTTTATTATAATTGCAATATTTAGACCACTTTTTTTAGGTATTTGCTTTTTAAATATCATATGGTTAACAAGTCAATATAAACCAACATGTAACTATGTTAATGTTGGAGTTTAAAAAACTTTAGTTTGTGTCTTTATGCAACTCTGACAAACTGTTTCCGAAGAACCTCATAAAGATTTTATCACATCATTTTATTTTCACGATTCTCACCAACTCGTGTTTTTTTTTTTTTTAAAAAAAAAGATTATTTTAATTGGAAAAAAGCAAAGAAAAAAAAAAATAGGAGAACTAAAAATGACATTTTAAAAAGATTACAAGATATTATATTTGATTTAAAAAAATATAAATAATTAAGATATTTCCATGTTATATATTTAAATTTTCATGTTTAAAACAAATTTTTGTCACAAATAAATTTTTGTTATATGGATTCACCTTTTGTGTTTGCTTTTTAACAATATCTCTACTCAGCATTAAAAGAAATCTTTTTGCTCATAATTTTCACCAAAGATTGGTAAATGTTTATCCTTTTGCTTGTAACTTTCATCAAACATTGGTAAATGTTTATCTTTTTGCTCGTAACTTTCACCAAACATTGGTAAATATTTATCTGGATAAGTACGAATTATTTTTTCTAATAATTTTTCGGCTGCACTTTCAACTTCATGCTAAAAATAAACAGTTTAACAATAATAAAATGTGAAGCTGAAGTGAACAGACAAATGTGAGGCTGGAAAAAAGAGTGAGACTGGAAGTAAATGTGAGAATGGAAGTAAGAGTAAGGCTGGAAGTAAGAGTGAGACTGGAAGTAAGAGTGAGGCTGCAATTATTAGTGAGGCTGGAAGTAAGTGCGAGGCGCTATAAATGAGAATGAGAGTAAAGCAAAGAGTGAGATGTTGTCTGTTAGTAGTAAGAGTGAGATGTTGTCTGTTAGTAGTAAGAGTGAGATGTTGTCTGTTAGTAGAAAGAGTGAGATGTTGTATGGTATAGCATTATAACGTACAGCAATAGTAGATATACTATAATAAAACTTGAAAATAAAAATCTATTATTAAAACTAAAGAATGGAAAGTAAAAAGGCCATTTTTTAAAAATAATCTGATATTAAATATATGTATACGCATCAGCATCTGCTCAAACTCTTTTGGAAGTTCTGTATGATACAGTATGAAACATTTTCTCATGCAGATATGAATCCAGTTTTTTCAGATAATGAATGATAATAAACATAAAATATCTTTTTTTTTTTTGCTGTAAAAGTCATTCAAAACTAAAAAGAACCCAGTTGATTTCATTTTTAAAAAGCAAAAACAAAATTAATTTAGCACATAATTACTTTTGTAATTATGTGCTGTAATTTTATGAAACAAATATACTTCATACCCTTTTCGTATTATTTATATAAAATTTTTTTTTTTTTTTGTTTCGAAACTTATATCTACAAAATTAAATTCCTTAATTACCAAACATAACAAATATAAAACAAATTAACTAGAGATATAATATAAAGATATAATGGAAATAAAATATAAAATATATAAAAAATATAAAATAGATAAACAAAAAATAAAATATAAACTAGAGAGTCTACTTAAAGTAAAATTAGAAATTTGTATTGAAGTAATCCACCCATAAAGTATCTTGGGAGCATTTAAAAAGTAAAAAAATATAAAACTTAGAAAAAATGCTGATTTTTACTTGCAAGACAAACAAATTAATAATTATAAACTTAATAATGCAGCCAACATTCCAAATCATATTTTAGAAATGCAAATTTTAGGCATCAATAAATTGTTTTGTATCGAAATTGGATATTCAAATCCTATATTAACATAAATCTCCTAAAAAGTGACTGTTAATATTATAAGAAATGTTTATCTTTAACTTCTCCGGCTCTGATAAGTTTAAGGATCATCACAATCACCCAGCTTTTGGTATGATTTAACCCAGTATTACCTACACTATGTCTTGTATTACTTTTTTTTTTAGAAAAAAACTAGGAGAAAGAAACTGACTTAAATTTCCTTAGGGCGCTTGGTTAAGTTAAGGCTAGAGATGGTAGTAAGGTTTCCCAAACTCTGTGGTAGGTCTCAGAGAGGCTGATTCCATCAACAGCTGTAAAATATCAGATAATAAACAGTGCCATATTGCACATAGATTGTGTCCCTGTTAATGCTTTTGGTGTGGATTGTTGAGGTTACATAAGGAGCCCCAAATTACGACTTTGACAAATGCATAGCTCATTACTGGGGATGCTGTACTCTATCTATGAATGAGCCAAGTTCTCTTTAAACTTAAATCATGCCCATAATAACCAAAACTAATAAACATAAAAAAAAACACATCGCCACCACTTAACTGTTTCAATATCTTTCACAAATATTTGTAGTCTTCAAAGTAACTTTCCATAAGTTGAATCTTACCTTATGCAAAATTCACCATAAATGTTTGCTTATTGTGAGACTAATTTAAATTTGTCCGTTCTTTCTTCAGAACTCAGTATTGATAGGTACTATCCGTTAATTTTCAAAAACACCAATAGTCACATGCTTGGTTTGGGTTATACTTAGGTAATTCTCCTATTTGTATAGAAATCAGATTTGATTCCTCTGACATTTTATGTGATACCACTTAGCGCCTCTTCACTCAATCACCTTTCACTGTGTTCTTTATCTTTTTCTTTCTTACTCTTTTAAATGTAAATTCTAATCAAATTAACCATGCTGTATCTTGTTACCCCTCTACCAATATTGGTGCTATTGGTGACTAATGCTCATCACACTAAATCCCTCGACTCTAACACGACTTTAAAAAATCTAAAAAGACTTTATGTCAAGACAGGAGCATAAAAATCATAAGCAAATAAAGCCACTTTAGATGTAAGGTTGTTAAGAAGATAATTAATGTAGATAAGAAAAAAAAAGAACCAAGGATAGACTTGAGGTACCCTACAAGTTACTGAAAATGAAAATGGGTGTTGGTTTTTGAGGATGACTTTAATAAAGCAGTTAAAAAGAAATAATTTGAATATCTCAAAAAATATTTTAGATACACCATGTAAAGCAAGCTAATGGAGAAAACCAGCATGCCAAACTTTGTTAAAAGTTTTAGTAACAGCAATCTTTTAGTAGAACGAGAGGATCAGTAGTTGTACTGATTGTCTGACAATATGTCTGACGTAATTGATTGACTAAAAAGTTAAGTGACTCAAGATGGAATGTAAGAAATTTGTTGGTCAAAAACTCAAAGACTTTGCTAAGACTGATCAAAACATAGTTGAAAGGGGTCAGAATGATCTCCAGACTTTTTTAAATTTTAAGAGAGAATTTAATTTAGCAATTGATTGTATACATGGTTTCCATGGAAAATCAATAGTAATCTATAATCAAAGAAGACGAAAATAAGAGGACTCAGTAAGAGGGTTCCCATTCATTAATATAGGAATGTCAACAGTAATGTGATAGTTGTTTGCAGGAAATAACTGAGTTTTTTTTAGTTGAAATTTACAACCAACTGTTAGCAAACAAACAAAGTTTGGCATGCTGGTCTTCTCCATAAGCTTGTTTCATATGATACACCATATGAAACAAGCTTATGGAGAAGACCAGAATGCCAAGCTTTGTCAAAAGCCTAAGATATGTCTAGAGAAATAACCCTAGCCTCTCTGCCTCTATCTAACAACAATAAAATCGTTCAGTTACTTAGCAAGTCAGCTGTGGTGCGAGAGGATCGAAAGTTATTTGACTCAAAAAAAGATGTGAGAAATTTATTAATCAAAGACTCAAAGACCTTGCTAATAACAGAGAAAAGACTGATCGGACGATAATTGGAGGGGTCAGAATGTTCATCAGAGTTTTTGAAAATTGGAATAAAAGATGCCATTTTCCAGCAGGCAGAAAAACATGACTCAGTCAGGCAATTATTAAATAGTTTAGAGAGAAGCATGTGACCGTTGAAATCTTTGCGAATTAAAGGATAGTACCCATGAACACTGAGATCAGAAGAAGGAGTAGCAGAATTTAAACTAGTCTCACTAAAAGCAAGTAAATCTGGTTAATTTTGCAAGAGCTAAGATTCAACTAATGGAAGGTTGCTTGCAGACCAGGAATATAACTACAATATATATTAAATCAGTTAGGTGATTTGTTTTTTATGTTTAATATTTTGATTTACTTTAAGCTAGATTAAAGTTTAAAGAGAACTTGACTCATTCTTAGATAGAGCACAGCATTTCAAGCATTAAGCTATGCAAATGTATAAGGTCCAATAATTAAGCCAAATCTGTAGCGTAGGGCATCTTATGTGGCCTCGAAAATGCACACCAAAAACATTAACAGGGACACCATCATGCACAACATGGCACTTTTAATACACTGATATTTTGCAGTTGTTGATGGAACCAACCTCTCTGAGAGCTACCACTTTTTTTGGAAAAGCTTACTACCAGCCGAGCTTAAAACCATTTTTAAAGTTTTAAAGCTGTACCCTCATTAGGAGATAACAGAAAGAGTTGCATAACTACTATCAAAAAGGCAAATATCTATGTCAAGAAGATCTAGCATTCATCATCAGGCAGGAAACAATGTGACACTGTTTTACATCTATGACAGCCTAATAGATGAAGTAGTTTGAGGCTGGTCAACCTTCTACACGACAGTAGCTACTAAGAAAAGAATTTTTATTGAGACATCATTTCTAGCCTTTAAATAACCAAATGCCCTAAGGCAGGGGAGTTTTAACTGGATGCAGTTAACATCTGCCCATAATGAGTATTTTTATTGAGACACCATCTTTAGCCTTTACTAAATCAAGAGCCTCAAACAAGAGATTTTTAAGCCGAAGTTTGTTTTTCCCAGACTTTGCCTAAAAAATCAAACCCTCAAGGCAACAGGGCAAGGGGCAAGTGGTACTAGGTTACATGATATTAGTAGCAAGGTGATCATGATGGTCCTTAACCTGATCTGGAGTAGCTAAAAGAAGAATTTACTGTCTGCAAGCGGTACTTTAAAATATTGATGGAATACTTTGAAAATGAAATTAGGAAAAACATTACATCTAACAAAAAACTAAAGATTAAGGTGAGCATAGGTTTCATAATTAAAGTCACTAGATGGTAACTGAGCTCACACTGCATCAGAGTTTCAAACAGAAAGTACATAAATAAAGTAACTTACGGATGAGTAAACACTGCACCAAAGGTTTAGACAGAACACAAACATACATATAGAAACTTAGAGGTAAGCAAATACAGTAAGCAAGACAAAAATTAGATAGTATTGACATAATATATAGGTATACATGACAGATATTAGATACTATTGAAATGAGGAAGTACATTCATTCTAGCCTTTGTTTAAAAAGCGAATACCAAAAGACAGCAGGACATGGAACAGGTTGCACAGGTTACATGTTACCAATAGCAGGGTAATCATGATGACCATACACAACATCTGACAAATTTTCATTACTTTTGAGCGAAAGTTTATTAATTTTTGAAACAGGAAGTTAATTTTTAATTAAAAATTTAAATAAAACATTTCATCATTTTAAGAATGACCAAAAAAAAGCTAATTATAAAAGAAAATAATGATTTAGGAAAATTTATTTTTTAGAAAAAACTAATTGCTAAGGTGGAAAAAGCAAGTAGGATTTGCGATTGCAAAAAGTT